TTTACAGGCCTCAAATTGTCAGACATATTGGAGTTGCCTAAAATTTATTTAATGAATTTTATCCTAATTGTTAAAAATAAGCTTTCTCCATAGAGTTCTAATGCTTATTAACATCTTTTTTTTTTTGTAGATCTCATTTTTCTTCTTATGTTGAGTTTGAGCAATTCCCCGCTTCCTCGCCTCATCTTTCTTCTTATGTTGAGTATGTTTTTCTTGCTCATTTATTGTTAGGGTTTTGAATATTATGTGTTAATAATGAGAAGAAAATCATATTTATAAATGAAATGTGAGTGTAGTTTTGAATCTCCTTTTTAGAGATTAATTAAAGTAAAAGTCACATAAGCTAACAAAACACATGCATTGTTGGATGTTAAGTGTATGCAATCAATTTATTTGATTGATGAGTTGATTGTTTGGTCAGATGAAGTCAAATTTAATCTAGAAGTTCAGTTTTGAATAATTAAGACTATTATAATTACGTTTTATATTTCGATGTTAATATTATTAATTTCTTTGTTTTGGTTTGTTTTAATCATGATTAGAATTAATCGCTGATTCAAATTTAAAACTAAAGGCCCGGTAGCCATTTATACTAAGTGAATAGTAGAGTACAATAAGAAAAGAGTTGTAGATGCATTTTATAGAGAATATGATTGAAGTATTGAATGGGCAATGTTTCTGGTGCCATGTATAAAACGGTTCAATTGTTAGTATGGATGGTTGTTTTTATTTGGAGGCTGATTCGGTTCTTCAGATTGATTAAATATGGATAAATTTTATAATTTCATTCAAATAGGTTACAACTTCCAACCTCTTTTAATTATGAATAACAATTAGAGAGTATCAATTATATTTCATATACTACTCTTTAAAGTATGGTTTTAGTTGTTTTTATGTGAATTTTTTTTTAGAATTTGCACTAATATTGTGTGGGGTAATGTGCAAGTATTAAATGTCTACTGCTTAATTTGCTCACCCAAGATTTTGGTAGTTTAAAATTTAGTTGTGAGATATGCAAATTGGCTATGTACATAAATTGCAAATCCACCTAAAAAATTATGCAATTTAATATTTTTTCAATCGCGACTGCAATTAATAGTGGCTTGCTCGCATATGAAGAACATAAATAATGCGAAGGATTTGACGCTAGAACTCGAAAGAACTTACCCAATGAGTGGAGCGCTCGCCCTTTTATTTTATGCAGACTTTTTCGTCATGGAATATTAGTAACTCATTCACGGCTGATTTTGCATCTTTAAAAAAATATAAAAGCTCATGATTTTAAAACTTTTGTGGGAATAAATAAAAAAAATGAGGTTTTTGCTTGTTAAAATGAACTATTTAGTCATCATCGTATTAAAAAAAGAAAAAACTTTGTTTAATGGGCGAGGCAACATAAAATTATTTTAAAGTACTCTATTTTGTAACTTTTTGAACATATTATAGTTTCTTCTTTGGAACTCTGCTATCTCTTTTTTATGACTTCATATTTTGTGGAAAGCATTATTCAAACTATATTAATGATTTTATTCTTCAGAGAGTATCTCAATGTTAATAAATCAGTCATTCCTCGACTAATTAATCATAATAACACTGCTCATATATACACCAGTAAACTTCCGACCTTACCATTCGCAAATATATATATATATATATTCGTAAATACTTTGATTTGAATGACTTGTATTAGAGTATATAGAATCAAGTCAGAAAATAATCATAAATTAATTTTCATATAAATGCTTCACTGAGAAAACATAGGTAATTTTTTTTATTTATTTATAATCATAAATTATGTATTTATTAGCCAAAAGAAAGTTAATTGACGACAAGCCTCTTTACTCAAAAAAATAAATAAATAAATAAATCTTTCTGACAATAATTGGAAAAGAAATTACATTTGTTAATTTGCCCATATTGTACACAAAAATCTAAATTTAATTTAAAAATGTCGACTAGTTAAGTTGAAAAAAAAAACCTAGTAAAATTCACTTATATTTGCATAAGCAGACCTATTTTCCATATTTATATTTATAAAACCACTTTGGTGCCAGGAACATATGAAGGAAAGTATGTATTTCATTTCTTTAAAATTAAATAATAATGATATTAATTGTAATATGTAAAAAAAAAATTCCCTAAACAGCAAAGAGCAACGGAATAGACCAAAATTTAGAATTATGAAATAATACTAAAGAAATTTATCAAAAGAATAACATTGATACAAGCCAACATACCAAAATACTGTAGCATGAGGCTGTGCACGTCACGCCCAAAAATAACACTAATGCTAATTTCTTACTATGCAAGGCATAGGTTCTCAAAGCCCATGTACTCCTGCAGTTGAATTTTATGTATCATACGTGAAATACCAACCCCGCCTGTCAAATTTAAACATAATACACAACAAAGATCATTAACTTTCCCACAAGAGAAAAGGGGAATTTATACAAATCGCCCAATTCATAAATAACACCTATTTTTTTATATATATATTTTTTATACCATTTTAAATACATTTTTTTCTTGTATAGGTAAGTCATGTATGTTAAAAATGAAGTTTAGCTGTTCGATATGTAAATACACCTTTCATCTACATATCAAGCAATTTCCATGTATTTACATATCTAACACCTACACTTTACTTTTTTAACATGTTAACCACCCAAATCTTGCACATCGCAGCAAAAAATATCGCAGCATGCACGTACAAATTGAAGTTTAATTATTAGAAACGTAAATGCATAAGAATTGAGTGGTATGTATGAAAATCTTCCCTCAAAAAAGTAAATTAAATAATTAAAGACGTACCTAAGGAAATAGCACTTATAAAGATTGTAAAAGCCAGTATGAAGATGATGAGAGATGCTCTCCCCATAATAAGTATAATCTTTCTCACAACATGTTGGCCAACAAATGCAGCAACTGTGGCCACCGCCGCGAAGTATATGGCTGCAATATTTCAAAGTATCATAAACCCATCGATCCAACCTATTTTAATTAAAATTTGTTCAAGATTTATTTTTAATTACTAATTATATTCTATTGTAACTTCAAAATAAATTCTACCTCCCAATTCCCTTGTATTTACACATATATCTAACACCTAAGCTTTTACATTTATAGCACCCAAATCTTTCTTCACATAAAAAAATATCAATGTTTTAACTTTCAAACATGGGTAAGTTGTATGTCTGTAAAAATTGGAGTTTGGTTGTGGGTGTTAGATATGTAAATACATAAGAATTGAGTGATATCTTCCTAAAATATATTTTGATCAATATATTTTCTGCCTAAAATTTGATAAACTTTGATTTTATAGATAGTTATTTCTTTTAATAATGATCAATTAAAATGTAGCACGCATTTTAAAATTAATTTAATAATAAAAATGTTTATCAAATCCTTTTTTTTTTTCTTTCTTTATTTATATAACAGCCATAAAAATAGGATGCGGACATCATACCATATGGGACCGGAAAACGACTTAGAAGGTAGTATTGAACTACAGACATAGAAGCAGAAAATGTCATGGCAAAGGTGGCCGTCGCGCTCGATACCTGTGCAAAATAAACAATTAATTTATCAATAAATGTTGGCTGTACCCAAAAAAAAAAAATGCTGTAAAAGAATGTTGAAGGCCATAGCCCATCAAAAGAAGTTAAAAACAAACTTTAACCTTACACACGTGAAAAGGAAGAAATTAGAAATAGAACCCCTAGAAAGAGAAGCCAAAAGAGAAATTGCAACAACAAAAAATCTCCAGACGGAAGCACCAAGTCGTTAATTTTAGGACTTTGCAGGTCTTATCCAAATCCTAAAATTGGATGTAGTTTGATGTGCATGTAAGATGAAGAGCATTAATCCGATAAGCCAAGTAATTCCGCATTGAAAACTTTTAAGAGGCATTTTCATACGTGCCATACAATTATTATTTATGTACATAGCTAGCACCTATACTTCCATATTTTTATACATAACACCCGAATGGTTAACATCAAGTATCAACATTGCTTTTTGGAAGTGAAATACACCTTTACATCTATGGCTTTATCACAGCATAATATTATAAATATAAATATAAAACTTTAGGTGTTTGATACGTAAATGCATAAGAATTGAGTGGTTAGTACGCAACTTTCTCAAATTTAACATCAAGAAGAAGAGTTTCAGTGAAAATTGGTGACCCTAAATAGATGAGCTTGGAATCAGCTAAAGGAGTGTAAAGTGATAAGCTGATAATAGAGGCACTGGAAATCTAGGGGAAGAAGAAAATTGCACTCTTAGCATACATCTAAAATGCACATTCTAGAAGATAGAGAACGACAAAGAAGGCCCCACTAACAGAAGACCATGAGGCTCACTAATTAGACATAGTGCAATCATCCAAGCCAAAACCAATTGAATCACAAAAGACGACCAAATGATTCGAATATGGGTCATACAGTCAGAAACTAAATAAAGAGACATCCAAGCTAACCGACATGAAGCTAGCTTAGTAGCATGTCCAATCATACCGGGGAGGTTCAAAAGCTCATCCATCTATTATGAAGGGTTGACAGACTAACTAAACCAATCAAACCAGTCCTGCTGACCCAAAGTCATTCAAGCTCAAACGACTGATAACACAAACTAAGCCTAGCAGACTAAACAGTCCCTAATCGAGGCCAAAAAAGCTCAGCCAATCGAGTCTGAAAGCAGCCAAGAGATAAGCTTATACATCTAAAATACCAAAGAATATCCTTTACAACCACCATTAAACGCAGAGGCAAAATCATAACATCACCATATTGTACTCTCTATCTCCTATAAATAAAAAAATCATTTAATGAAAAAGTGATAGCCAGCTTAGCCAAAAAGGACGGGAAAAATCAACACAGTATATACGATTTACTGTTCTCACTTTCTCTCTCTCCCATATTTTTACGCTCTACTTTTTGAAATGTGATTTAAGGACAAATCATGATTCAACACCACATATTTAATAAACAAACCAACAACCTCCCCCAAAATAAATAGAATATCTATGAGATTGGATAAAGTTATAGGAAGCAGCTTTCCCAAAGCCATCTGCACGCAGAATTGAAGAATTCTTTTCAATGAGCCATTGATGCATATTGAATAATGGATATTTTTTGTACATGCTTTAATCCAATCAACGAACAAAAGGAAAAACCATTTTGGATTTTTCTATGGAAAAATAATCTATATATTAACAATTTCAAAAAACTTTATGGTAATAGTTTGTCACAAAACAGATTCTCAAATCTATTATACAAAGGAATTCACACAAAATTTCATTAACAGACAAGACATTATTAGTTTAGATTCTATTTTGAATATATACTGCTTAGCTTGGTTGGGTGAAGAATACATTACTTCCCTAGAGACAGGTAGCAAAATTTTGGCAATAATTTTAAACAAGATGTTGAATAGAGAAATAGGTTTGTAGTTAAAAAAGACTAAATCTATGTACGTACGAGAATAATCCGAATGGCTTTCACATTAAGGGTAAGCATTTTTTAGACGAAAGAGAGTGTTGGATAGCAATTCACACTTGATTACCACTAAGACCAAACAAACTAGTATAAATTCAAATCATCTTAACCCCGAACCCAAACATTAGCTGTCTGTTTGTGTTAAAAAGTTTTAAAGGAAAGAATAACAGCATCTACAATATCAGAGGAGAGAAAAAAAATACCAATAGCAGAGAAATTTTCTTCAATGAAGTCGTAGTTTCTACTGTTTTTTTTTTTTTTTTGTCATATAAGCTCTGAAAATTCACACCTCGACTTCCCTCGAAACAATTAAGAGAGTTCTACATGATGTTATGAGTACAATTTTCAAAACACATGAGAAAGTAGATAAAATACAATCAGAGATTTCCCTCATTTTCTGACTTCCCAATTTTCATTGAGTTAGTGAGGTTATTCTGAGCACCTCTCCTTGTACCAATATAAGGCCAAGTTTTATTAATTAAATCTTTTTTTTTTAATAACGTTTTCTCGGCTTTATTCTAATGTGACACGGCTCAAAATCTAATTGTAATGAATAAATTACAATTGCTCGTTGATTGTGTTATATAAATTTCTCATTTATTTCTTTATATTAATTTGATCATTAAAATTATCATTTGAGATTTATAGCTGCACTACGAAACCCATAACTCGAACCATCCTACATTATTATCGGGCGAGTGTACTTTGTATGTGACCTAAGCAAGTATATAAAAGGATATATACCACTAATCAAAATGAACTGAAAAATACAGAAAATAAAATGTGGAACACACCTGAGGTGGAATTCCCAACTCCAAGAAAAGAGGACCAAGAATAAAACCTCCTCCTAAACCAAGCAATCCTCCAACCATGCCGGCAATGATACCGAATAAGCAGTATATTACGAGCTGATGAATCTTCCACTCCGTCACTACTTCTCCCTTCGACGCGATCACTCTTCTACCCTTGTACAAACTGACAGCTTCGTACAAACTGACACCAACAGAAACTGGGATCTACAGAGTAACAAATAATTATCGGGGCAAGTACATACATAGCACATAGTTTTTATTTATTTACACATCTCACACCTAAATGAAAATGTAAAAGTGATAATAGTGCTATTTTTTATGCGATATTGAATATTTATGAAATTTTAAGTGTGAGATATGTAAGTACATAAGAATTGTGTGGTATGCATGTAAAGTTCCAATAATTATTTCAATTTCAACATCATGAATATTTCTCTAGCATATGGGAACTGCAAAACTTAGAAGCAAATCATTTTATACCTGCAGCAAATTCAACACCCAATACCATACTGAACATGTTCTTGTATGGTTCTGTATAAAGTTTACACAAGCAATGTCAATAGAATAAGATCATAGATAAAAAAGGCAAGGAAAAGCTACCTGCATTAATAGCTCACTTTTGTAATCTGCAGTGCAAGAAAAGCTATCCAGACAAATAGTAGAAGGCCCAGATCCTTCCAGGAGACATTTTCAATGATTGAAAACTGTCAAAATTGTACAAAATTAGCCTTAATAAACTATAAATATGTATCTTATAATGCAAATTATGCAGCCCAAGTACCTCTTGTTCAGTATCTGAGTTGTCCTCCATTTGAGCAGTGTTGCCAGGGCCGCCAGGAATAAGCTTGTACTCAGCTTCTTCGTTCGCATCTATTGGAAAAAATTAAAAAAATTAAACTGTCATAAAATAATTTAGAAGTACAAAAGTGTAAAAATGGTCGCCTGACCCTTTATAAAAGTGTCAATTTAGTCATCAAACTTTTTTAATGTGGGTTATGATACTCCCTTTTTTAGACTATTTCAGGCCGTATTAAAAAAATAAAGGGGATTAATTTGATATTTTTATAAACTTTGGGATTAAAATGGCCCCATGTAAATAATAAGGGGACTATTTTTGACACTTTACACATTTAAGAACATAAAAAAAAGGTAGGGCTCTAATGATGCGCAAATGTAATGAAAGCATGAGCTACTAACCTTTAAACTCGGGGTTTTTGGCTGCCTCCTGAAATTAAAATGCGTTGGTACCAATAAATGAAGATAATCTTTACTCATCAAATATGACAGAAGCCAAAAAAAGAAGGATTTACATGCATGCCTCTCAATTCCAATATATTTACTTATCTAATACACAAACTTCAATATTGACATACATGAAAGTTGCATTTCACTTCGTAATAAAAGTTCAAATGATGGCATCTTTTTATGTGATATGAAAGATTTGGGCCATGTAAATGTAAAAACAAAACAAATTTTAGATGTTAGACATGTAAATACATAGGAATTGAGTGGTATGTATGTAATGCCCCAAAAAAAACACAGAAGGGCAGAGGGAAGAAACCTTCTTCATCAACGTCTCCTTCTTCCATGTCTCAACGCCCCTCATGAACGCCATGGTTGAGGTAACTGAAAATCCATTCTTGTCCATCAGGATTTACATTCTAACTTCATCAGAAACTCGATAAAAATTAATGACGAATAATGGATAACCTAAGAAGAGAATGATCAGAAGAACTGTGACCATCCAGTCCGGAAAAACTACATTGAAAATGACTCCAATACTAATCCCAAGCATAAGCATAGGTTGGAAGAGCAAAGCAAGATCATAGTCGATGAGCGATGTATCTAAAGTAGGATGCCTCAGCCTAAGATTATAGTAAACAGTAGAAGCAGCTGCACCTGTGATCATACCTGGTCAAAAAAAAGCTAAATGAAATGAGTATTACATTATCCTATTTCACAGTATTACAATATCAATTCATATAATGAGCAAGGTTTACAAGGATGAGAATTTGTATTTAGTTGACATTAAATACACAAACTGTTATAAAGGAGAAAAGTTTAATCCTATGTACTATTTAACATTGATGCGTGATAGAATATTCGTGGCGGTAGAATAATAGATTAATTTAACTTTACATAAGAATTTAGCACACTCAAATGAAGGAAAACAATTCGAAGAGACACCAGAAGTTTTTTACATGAAAAACCCAGAAAGAGAAAAAACCACGAGGCGTGACTCGATTATAAAAATACACTATAAGTTGATAATTACGGAGATCTCTTGTAACACAAACGAGAAAGTGTTAACAAAATCTTCTGAATTACAACGTCGATGAGCGAACGATCTCGTTGCAAAAAGAGGGCGGCGGAAAATAATGATCAACGACGGACAAAGGCAAGAGTAATGTTGAACTTTAACTTCTTCTCGAAGCTTCAAGTTCTTCTTCAAGCTTCAAGCTCTCTCCACTCTCATGAGATGGATGGGGCTCTATTTATAGAATTTCGACTGCAATTAATGAAAGAATATGAATAATTTAATTGAACGACTCAAAGGACTCCCTTTGATATGATGGTGTTTTATGGATATTCGTGTGTATTAACGATGTTAGAATTGAGTGATTTTGAGCTTGTTGGATTATTTTTGTCGAGACGCTCGACTCGACTATAAGCTAGTCTGATTCAACATTCATTTAATTTTTCAAATATACTCGAAAAGCTTTCAAAAACGGTTTAATGGCTTGATCTGAGCTTGATCTGTTTTGGATTAGATATATTTTGGTATCATCGGGTCCCTCTTATCGAGCCGATTATTTTGACTATAAGCTTATTGAGATTGAAGCTTTGGATGACTCTTTATCAATGTTTGAATGTTTCTTGCTCAAAAGATTGCTTAGAGATCTGTTTCATGCCTCGATATTTGAGTCAGATGATAGAAAGTTGTTAATAATGTATCAGTTGCCTCTATTTTTTGGTGGGACTAACATCATTGTCCCAAAATATCAAGATCTGTAACTTTTTATTTTTATCATATATAAACAGTTGTATTTTCTTGGTATTTTCATATCTATGAGACGAACCTGATGATACTAAAAAGTTGATACGATATTTTGAGTGTCTCAATTATGTGGAAATATAAACATTTGTATATATGATATATATGATAAAAATAAAAAGCATTTGATCAAGTAGATATACCACTCGGGTCTACTACATGATATCAATGTTTGAATGCTTTTCATTTTTATCATATATATCATGTACCTAGAAAACGACCGAGTAGTATATCTACAAGTGATCAAAAATCAAGATTTGCCCCCTGTTTGTTTGATGTGACATTTGTAGATGATGATACGTTGCTTATGAGGTCATTGCGGCTTTTCAATAAATTAGAATTCTGCAATTAAAGTTGGCACATGCACTTTATATATAAAAAAAACATGTATCTTTATAGACGTGTGTCTTTTGAGATTTGTATCCTCTTAAGTTGTATCTTCTGAAGTTTGTATCTTCTAGAAGCTTGAAATGAATCTATGCATTTTGAGGCTCGCAACCTTCCGAGGTCGTTGATGTACATGTGTCTCCTAATGATTGTAGTCTTCTGAGGTTTTTGATGTACTTATGCCTCCCGAGACTTGTAGCCTTCTGAAATCTTTGATGTAGCTTGTCTTCTAAGGCTTGTAGCCTTATGAGGTCTTTAAGTGAAGACCATGTCCTCCACTTGCTCTCTTGAGGTATTTCTAGTGAAAACACTGCCCACTACCAGCTTTACATCGAGACTTAGTCTCTTGGGTTCTTCTACCAAGGGCATGATAGCTTTCATCAAATTTTGTCCCTTGGGCTCAATTTTCAGGGGCACCAAATCATCCCATTCAGTCTTGCATCTTAGACATGGCTTCCAGGAGCAAGATAGCTTCCCATCGAGTCTTGCCCTTGGGCTTGACTTCTAGGAGTACGATGTCTTCTCATTGAGTCTTGCCTCTTGGGCTTGAATTCCAAGAGTACTATGTCTTCACATCAACTCTTGCCTCTTAAGCTTGACTTTTGAGGGCATGGTGGCTTTCCGTCGAGTCTTGCCTCTTAAGCTAAACTAGCAAGAGTATCGGATATTTACATCGAATTTTGTCTCTTAGGCTCGACTTCCAAGGTCATTATAGCTAACCAATGAGTCTTGTCTCTTGGGCCCGACTTCCAGGAGTATCATATCTTCTCATCAAGTCTTGTCTCTTGGGCTCAACTTCCAGGAGTATGGTAAATTTAAGTTAGTATAAATTACTAAATCTTGTAAATCTGAATTTAGTATATTGGAAGGGTTAAATCCCAAAAACTGTTTGGCAACAAAAATTATTAAATCCAATTAAATTGTCAAATGTTTAACAACTTTACCAAGATTTAAAAGATCCTTATGTTCATCAGGGAAAAAAAGTCATAAATGTTATGCTAATTTTTAATTATGTTAATTAATAACTAATTATTTACTAAACTAATTAATTATTAATAATTTTTTATTAAACTATTTAATTATTATGCAACAAATTAAAATTAATTAATTAATCATTTATGTTTTATTCATTAATTAATTACTAAATAATTACATATAAATTTATCTAAATATGATTAATTTGATAATATATTAACTAATTATTAATCAATTAAATTAAAAAATTTAAAGCTTAAATAAAACAACCCTCACTTATGTCCCGACCCTTCCTTATTTCGCCCAATTAAGTTGAGATTAGAGTTAGTTCCCATTTTTTCTCATCCTTCCGCTCCGCTCCGCTACGCGCATAAATCATTGAGGAAGATAAACCAGTTTGAGTCACTCTTCTCATTCTTCCTCTTTGGTCGTGCCAAATTCACTAAATCCACTAAATCCATTGATTCACGAGATTTAGTGAATTTACGGCTGAAATTCGCGAAATCTGGATTTTTTAAAGGAGCGGATTTATTTGGCCAAACTGACCGCCTGGCAAGATTTTTTTTCAAAACCCAGGTTGTCCTGGTCTAAATCCATTGCCATACAGCCCCTCACTGTTATGTATGTAAATCTTCCAAAATAAAATACTAACCAAAATCTAACTTGAATCCTGACAGATTTGTGCTAGATCTTGCCACCAAAAAACAAGTCCGCCTCAATGTAATAGGTGACAGTTACAACTTGCGTGAAAATTCAGCATCCGACCAAATTAAAAAGCAATTTGCGTAATCAATACACATACATAAAACTTCCACAAAATTCCTGTTTAAAAAACAGATTAATCTATTTCCTTTCTGACTAAGCAAATATAAACAGCGGAAAACAAACGATCCAAAATAAATAAAGAGCTAAATAGATGAACAAAAACGAATAACAGACAAAATTAAAATCCATTTCCCAGAATGCGTCAGATCTCTTACATTTCGATATCGCAGTGGAAGATTTTGGATCAAACCCGATGATCAAAGCAAGCATCGGAACAAAAATCCCTCCACCACCGACACCTCCCACGCTGCCTAACGCGGCCCCGAAGAACCCAACCACTGAGCCGACCACTATTTGCCAACCAAATTTCATCGGCTGCGTGGTGAAAAACACATTGATTCAGAAACCAAACCCTAGAAATACGCAAATCAAATCCAAAATCTAGAGAGAGAAGAAGATGTCTACAGGCCAGACATGATGATACCCAGATCCATCAGCTCGCCACAAGAAACCTAAAACCTTAGTTAAATAGCTTGAGTCCTCCTTTTCCTTCTCGGCCATGGCCGGAATGCGATTCATCAAACCTCGATCGGCTGAAACCAAAGCCAACGCCGTGATGAAGATGAGAAGGATTGAGAACATCAAATCAATGCTTCTCCTCCATTTTTCTCCCATTTCAGCCGGTTAAAGAGCAGATAGAGCCTCAAGCTTGAACGGAGGAGGAGGAAGGGTTTGGTTCCCTAGCAAAACAAAACCCAGATTCTTCGAAACCCCAATTTATAACAGACAGAGAGACGTGAGAGATACGACCTGAGGCTGAAGGGATCATGGTTTAAGTATTTATAGGGCAAATTTTGTTCGGGATAGGATAACTTTTATTTTAATTTATTTTGAATATATATATATATATATATATATATATATGTATGTATGAATGTAATAAAATAATTAAACTATTATTTAACATTCACATAAAATTTTAAATATGATATTTAGTGCCCTTGTAGGGTAGCTTATAAATACGGCGGCGTTTTTGAAAACGTTGTCTAATCATTTTATTTGCGCATTTTTTAAAAAAATTATATACGTCATGTTTGGGTTTTTTACATTAAACGCTGGTCGTGGAACGATACCCGCGGGTCACGTTTCAGAATAAATTGTTTATCCTAAAACATACAAGCTACCCCAAACAGACTTTTAATCTCTCAACAATTTTAAGGAATGATGGTTGTAATAAAAAAAATGATTAAAATATTATTTTTAAATTTTGATGATTAAAATATTATATAGATGAGTTAGTCAATTTTTAAAATAAAATATCTTATATTAATATTTTTTTTGGCTGCAGATAAGCGGTGGTGAGCGGCTTATTAGTTGATGATTAGTTTTGTTTAAAAATATTAAAAGTATTTCAATAATTAAAAAAAATTAAGAATATATATAAATACACAAATAAAACATTTTTTAAATTACAAGAAAGGAAAAATAATCCCAAGCAATATAAATTTCGGGCGTGCTAAATTTTAAAAAATATAGACAATAAAGTTAAAAATTCTTATTAATTTTTATTAAATGATTTTTTTTTAATTTATGAAATTTATTTTTATAAATGTATTTGAATATTTAATTACGTTTCTATTTTTAAATTAAATTAATAATATTGAAATATATCATACATAAATTTCGACTAAAATATTCTAATTTAAAGTTTCCAAGAAAAATATAAACAATGAAGAAGGCGCAAACTCCCAATATCATAATAATAATAATTTATTATAATTTTTTTGAAAAAAGATTTATTAAATTTTACTAAATTAATTGACAGATATTTTTATGATTTAAGACGGAAATGAATAGGTGGGCCGCATGATTCGCCTACCCCGCAATTTTTATTCATTCATGTATTTGACACCTAAAACTTTATATTTACATCTATAACACTTTCAGAAGGTGTGTATTTGGCTTAATATTTTATTTAAAATAGGTGTAAGAAAAAAAGAGTAGGATAATGGAAGGAAAAAGTTTTGACACGTGTGAGAATAGATGAATTGGATAAGGACAAAATGCGAATGGGGAAAGCAAATCCAAGTGTGGACCAGAGCTTCCGTCTTCAGCGGGAGAGCGAAATTCCGAATTCCGATTCTCAAGTAGGACAAAAATGTAAAAACAATGAAAGGGAAGGGAACCTTTTCCTCTTATTATTATTAATACCATACCTAACATATGTCTTTGTTATTTATATATCTAATATCTAAAATTTCATGTTTGCATTTGATAAGTGGCCAATAAATTTTCATCATCCGGCATGAATCTCGAAGTAATCTTTTGCGCGATAAACATTTAAACTTCAATTAAGAGTATTTAGAGCCCATTTGAGCAAAATTATAGTCAAATTGAGCGGCTCGATGCGACGAGCTTAATGATATAAGAAAATATCTAATTGAAGTCAAATCAAGCCTTGATCAAATCATTAAATCACTCTTAGTAGATTTATGGATACATTTGGAAGGTCAAACAAATGTTGAATCTAACAAGTTCATAGTCGAATGAAGCGTCTCGACAAGACGAATACAATGTTCTCAATATTGTTCAATTCTGACATCGTTAAAGCACTTAAAATGTCTATCAAATGTTGTTTGATCGAATTGAATTTTTTGAACTGTCCGATTAAAAATAGTTCATATTTCTATATTAATTGCACCCAAAACATTATAAATAGAGTTTCACCCTCACATGAGGTAAAATAAGCTTGAGTCTTGAGAGAGAATTTGAGGCTTTGAGAAAGAATTAAAGTTTAGAGCCATCCCTGGCAACGACCACCCCCGATCACTGTCGACCACCACCGACCTCCATGGATCACCGCCGACCGTCGTAAATGACCACCGACCGTCGCCGACCACGCCGACCTCTGTCGATCACCGTCGATCGTCTTAAATCACTGTCTACCACCAACGACCGTCGTCTACCACCAACGACCGTCGTTGACCACTAACAATCGTCGTTGACTACCGTCGACCTTCGTCAACCACTATTGATCATCTTCAATCACCGTCGATCGTCGTTGACACCAACCGATCACCATCGATCGTCGTCGAGCACTACTGTCATCTTTAACAACCACCGACCATCATTGACTACCGCTGATAGTCGTCAATCACCGCCAATCATTATCGACTATCACTAACCGGACAACATTTGATGAACATTTGAGTTCCTTGACGATGTCAGAATGGAACAATATTGGGATTGTCGGATTCGACTGTAGGCTGACTAGATTTGACATTGTTTGACCTTCTAAACATGTTCGTAAAACTTTCAAAAATGGTTTAATGATTTGACCTGAGCTTGATTTGACTCAGGTTGGACTATTTTTGATATCATTGGATTTGTCTCATTGAGCCGTTCATTGTGACTATAAGCTTGTTGAAATCATAGCTCTGTGTGACTTTTTATCAAGATTTAAATAATTTTTGCTCAAAAGATTGTCTCAAGAACTGTGTCACTCATAGAAATTTATGTTGGACGATGATAATTTGTTGATGGCATGCAAGAAAAATGCATGGGGAGCCAGCCTATTTATTCATTACATTTAGAATTTTGGGTGCCACAAGCAAAAATACATGAATAAATAAATAAACAAATAAATGATTGAATAATCTAACTCAAAACTCAATCTTTTGTCCGAGCGCAGCCCCATGCCTTACAACCGTTCTTTATAGTCACCTCGAAGTTTGTGCTTTTGATGTACAACACGAGATCTGAGATAATGTATTAATGGATATTTTTGTAAAATAAGTTTTAATATGTCGACATTTATAATCTATAAAAATCAATCAATTGATAGCTATGTTAATTAACTTTTTTGAAAAGATTTCATGAGCAGTAATAACTTATTACATAATTAGGCATGAGGTTTAAAGTTAATTTAATAAAATGGGCTCCACGTTTCCTAATCAATAAGTGGCATTTACATACATACCACTCAATTTCTATGTATTTACATATTTAATATCCAAACTCTATCTTTACATTTATTCCACTCAAAATTTTAACTTAAAAAATGAAATGCATGTTTTTTGTGCATGGGTAAAATGTCATGCAGATATATAGAAAATTGAAATTTAGGGGTTAGATATGTAAATAAATAGAAGTAAAATCATTCGGAGTGCAGGGCACGTGAAACACATGCCCCCAATGCTGACAGCCGGAACTCCTAACTGATATGGACATGATTGACTTGACTTATTTTTATATACGAGAAAAGAAAAATATTATACTGGAGAGATTTCAATTCATGATGAACTGAACAAATTTGATCTTGAAGAGATGGAGTTTCTCTCTCTAATCCCTTAAAACTTTCTGTACTTTCTGATGGAGAGAGATGTACGAGATGTGTTGGGTAGAGAGAGGACCCATTCTCAAATTCATGCTCTATTTATCCACCATCCATCAAGGGGGTTACTAACCAATAGGATTTATGATAATTTAATAAATTAATTGATTTTTATTAATAAAATCAATGACATAAGTTAGTAACATTTATTTATTTTAGGGGTTATAGAGTTACAAAAATAAATATCATAAGTTATCATAAATTATGACATAAGTTATGAGTTAAGAAAATAAATAACTTAAGTTATCAAAATAAATATCATAAGTTGTCATAATTTATGACATAAGTTATGAGTTATGAAAATTAATAACTTAAGTTATCAAAAATAAATCTCATAAGTTATTAAAATAAATGTGAGTCATAAATAAAAATATAACATGGGAGTGCAGGGCACGTGAAACACATGCCCCCAATGCTGACAGCTGGAACTCCTAACTGATATGGACATGATTGACTTGACTTATTTTTATATACGAGAAAAGAAAAATATTATACTCGATAGATTTCAAGAATTTCAAAAAAGCATAACAATTCTACATACAAGAAAGAAAGCAGCGTGAAGGATGGCCCCTTATGGAAGACCAAATAACTCAACTCCTTTAAACCAGGGTTGAAGGTTGCCAGGTTTAGACCACATGAAACTAGGACTAAAAGCTAATCAAGCCAAGCAAATGTGTTGGCCTGTCAGTTGTCAAAATCCGACTCGGGGAATAATTTCAGTATCACCAACAGATTAATAGATATCACTGAGATGCCTCATCAAGACCAAGAAATGACAATAATATAGCCTAAGAGCATCCTAAAGAACCCCCCTTGCTAATGAGTGAGCTGACTATCGGGTTACGGTGATTCATCATCTGCTTGATTGTCTATTCTTATCTTACCGATATACATTTCTCATATAAAGATCAAGGGTCGATAGTTAGGTTAGCTCAAGTCGATCTGCAACATCTGACCAACCAAAGTAAACTTGTTGACCCGAACACCATCAAAAGCCGACCAACAGCCTTGATTCAATATAGTAGAACGAGCATGTTTTGTCGAACCAAGACCCACAAAGTTTAGCCGACAGAGTCAGAGGGTAGTCGAGCCATAAACCCACACATATAAATTTTCTAAAATATCCTATAACACCCCAACTAGAGTATAAGCAAATACGTAACTTCATATATTATACATTCTCCTATATAAATAGGGTAATCATTTTATGAGAAACTATGAATCTATATGACTTGATTATTATTCATTGTTGTGCACCTCCCTCCCCACCTCGCTCCCTCCCCCCTCGCTCCTCCTCGTCTTCCTCTTCCCTTTTATCTTACTTACGATTTAACTCTTGGGGTGTGATTGCAAGCCTTCAGCTGAGCACCTATCTTGGTTTCAATTGTTTATTAAATAAAACAACAAATTTTATTTTAAA